CAGTAAATATACCTGTTCCTCTGAATAATCATAATCGATGTAATATAATCGTTTCCCGTCGAAGAGCACGTTCACTATCCTAGCGCTGGTTTTCAAAAGTCCTTGAGCTAGCCAAAGAGCTGATTAGGCTTATGTTTAGTTTGTCATCTAAACTTATTGCTGCTAAGCTCTTTGTTTCGCTTCGAAACACGCTGCCGGCTTCCCGCGCTGCCTCGCGCTGCTCAATAACACAGATCACATCGTGATGCCCTATCCCCGGCCTCGAATCATTTGCAAGGAGCAATACTTTTGAATTTTCCTAATACAGGCAAGAAGTGCTCAACTTCTTTATACATGCCTCAAACTTACGAAAGGAGAGGATCGGCTTCAATAACAGCTGAATTAGTATAGCCTCGACCCATATGAAGCTTTTTGATATAGCGAATGATTTGCCGCATAATTTCGAACCTTTCAATCCTGGTGCGAATCTTGTTCAATTTTTGTGCAGAGCTTTTCAACAGGATGCGGACGTAGATGCTTTTAAGGAGGCACCCTTAGACTTTTTGTTTTGCGTTATCTTCTTTGAGTGTCCGTCGTGTCAGCCCTCACTCGCTCATGCTCTTGCAACAAACTAAAAATGAGTTTTCCACTTACTTTTTGTTTTGTAATTCAAGATATCATAGATAGCGATTGATAAATGTTCTCGCGCCCCCATATTTGATCGCAATACACGCTCCAGAAAGTACCTATACGTGACAGTAGCCCCACGTCTATTACGTGAAAGTACCGGCAGCTGGATGTTCAAATAGTTCTCATAACAAACAAGCGCCAACATACTGCGTATATAAAAACACTGACTACAAAATTCTCTGTCAGAGTCATTGGTAGCTTACCCAGCTCACACTGATATCAATTCCAGCATAGATGTAGGCTCCATTGCTATCTTGTTTGTACAGCAATGTCACTCCTATCATGTGCGTGAAAGCGGCAAATGCTACTACATACTTGCACCACTATCATGATCCACACATTTCTTCGAGACCAAATCTACAAATATGTATGTTGTAAACATGCAATCAAATATATGTAGTCATCACCCTAACTAACCTTGTCATACTTCTTCAGGAGGCAAAGCGCTGAATATCGATTGATCGTGAGGAACATGTTTCCGATCATGTGGGTGAGAAACGTGGTTCCACTGACTATTATAACAAAAGAAACAAGTGTCTTGAATTCCGGACCCAGACCAAGTTGACGATTCAGTCGGTTGAAGCAGCTTGCGAATATGGCGAATAGATCAGCGACTCCTAAACAGAGAAAGACGGTGCCACACCATATGTTTTCCTAATGATGTCGCTTTACTTGTACTTTATTTACTTTATTTTTACTTATCTCTAGGATTTTAAGGCATTATAGCCTCCAGTCGTCTAATGACACTCGCAATATTCGCTCATTCCGCTGCCATTCAATAGTCAAGTGGAACAGATTTTCCGTCAATGCCTCAAGGCATATGCTTGTCACAAAGATCCGACGCTTCTATCGGTAGCCCTTTTCAGATAAAGTGTGCGCCCAGCGCTCGGTAAAGGGAGGGGGTGCTTTCGCATGGATGTCATTGGCAACAACACGGTCTGATTGTTATTAGTCCCAGTGTCAGGGTTGTGTATTGAGAGAATTGTTGAGCTTCAAAATTAGGCGCTCAAACAGCGAATACTTCTTGATCGACCCAATATTTGCATCGACTTCTTCGACTTTGTTTTAAACGTTTGACTTTTTTCGCCGACTATCTCAAATGGGCCTGAGAAGCAATTGTCGTCTTCAGTAGGAATGGATCCATTACCCGTCTTGCCACAACTTCACTAGAAATAGCGAGCATGGGTCTTTGAGAAAGCGCTGTAGTGAAAATGACGTTCTAGATCAGAATGGAGTTCATTAGCCTTTAGTTCAATATATTACCTTGTGGATAACCCCACATCACAAATGAGCATTCAATCAAAGGTGTTCCATTTGTTACCTGTTGCGACAAATATCACGTAAAACGCAGTTTTCAAGACCTTCACTCTGGACGTTATAATGATGAATAAAACAAAAGCGTAAGAGCATACAAGCACGCCTTCGATCACAGTGTGTAACACGTTATGCTCCATCTTTTCTCTCCACTAAAAAAAGCTTAGTTAGCCGCACACGACACAAAATAGTGACACAAATCATTGCTGCTTAATTCACCTGTCTCCTTGTTGTTAAGCGCAACTGTAAACGGTTAACTCCTCCACTAGAAATCCCTAATTTGGAAGACTGCGGAAAATATCTGCAAAAGATAGAGTGGGAAAAGATTATAATGAGAAACCAATAACAATGAGTTATTGCGGTACGCCAGAAAGAGAACGATCTACTCCAACCTCAAAAGGACTAATTGTAAGTGATGACTACACTGGCTACTACACAACAGTTTCCGCTTTCAGACGAAGAAGTGAAACGTGCTTAGCAGGAAGAGAATTCTGGCAAATAATTGCATTTGTTTGAAGCACATGATGGCATAAGTCTGCTGCGGTAAACTCGTTCGGGGGGGGGGGCACTCCCTGCTATCTTATCCGTAGTACTAGAGAGCACTCCTTTGGGCTTCAACACTATGGATAAGATAATAGGTAAACGACTCATTTCAAGTGCACTTTTGATAAGGACCGGTGTATGCACATCGCGCACATCCTGCTCACATCCTAGGCAATTTATGGCATGTCGTCCACCCTGGGGCTCCTACACCTTGCGCCTAGAAAGGATGTTCCATACCCTAGTTCAGGACCATTTTCTTAGACCACAGAGGCCGAAATCTGAAAGCACCTCAGGAGTACTTCCACACTACACTGGTCCTTATCAAAATATCAAAATTAACGTTAAACGAATCGATTACGTGTCATTAATATTCTTGTCTTTATCCTTAGTTTTGAAAAGTCCAATGGAGTGCCCCCCCCCAAACTGGAGTTTCACCGTCTGCTGCTTCATTGAGAAGCGGGTGACTACAAAAGTAACAAAGTCAATTGTTAAAGTTTACAGAGCCTAGCACGTCAGCAGAAACTAAACCTACAGTTTCATAATTGACAAAACAGGCTCACTATCCTCAAGACAGCAGTCTCCATGAATAGTTGCAATCAGCATTTTCAGAATGCATCGCGACTTATCGTTAGTCATTTCAGATATGTTTGAAACTTTGTTTATATCTAGCCCTCCTATGTTATGCCACAACTCGATTTGTGAAGCAATTAGTACTGATTTATTTGCTGAAGAAGGAAAACATTTGCCTACACATCATACAAGACTAATGCGCTATTGGTAAAGTTAAGGAGCAATTTTTTTTCAGAGAAAAAAAAAAGCTAGATGTCACATTTTAAGAACTATTAACATACTTACTACTACTTAGTTACTTACTTTTACTTAATACTTAGTTTATACTTTTGACTGTGAGCTAGGAGCACATCAATTCATACTGAGCAAATACTGTGATCAAGCTATGATGGGTTTTCTTTGGGCAACAAGTGGATCAATACAAAGGGCACATGGGAGGCGAAACATTAGCTGC